GGGCATACCAGAAATGTATTATTGCACTCCATTCTCTGTATGTTACATTGGCCTGACCCATGTGCTCTATGTTCTGTGTTGTATGTTACATAGACCTGACCTCTGCACTCTAATACATAGACTTGATTCCCACTTAAATTCTCTTCTGGATGTTACCTATACCTGACTCCTGTGCTCTATATTCTATGTTGTAGGTTACATAGAACTGACCTCTGCGCTCTGTATTCTATGCTGTACCTTACATACAGTACCTTGCCTCTTGGCTACTTGGTGCCGAGCTTCTTATCTCTTTCCTTATGTAAGTGCTGCTCAGACCAGCTCCCTTTGCCTAAGCAACGTTCCTGTTGTGTCTGAGCCCCCATCTGTGCCTTTGCCCCGTCCTGCTATCTTTTTTTTTGGATTGAACTTCTGTGTACCAAATTTAGCTTTGTGTCTCAGATTCACTCCTGCTGTCTGCCCTGACCCTTTTCCTGATTTCCTGCATATTGTCTTTGTCTCTGCCGCCTGTACTCTGCCTTTTGTCTGTATCCTTTGGTATAGTTTGTCTCCGGACCTGCTGCAAGGAGAACCTGGTAGTGACCTGGCACTAGCAAGCATCGAGATTCATTCCCACCACCAGGAGCTCTGGAGAAAACCAACCGGTGCTTAGACTCTGCACCCTGGGGGATTCCGCATCTCCAACTCCAACTGATTCGATATCGTTGACTGGTTTTCTGTTAAATTCCAGTCTGTGAACTGGCAAAAGATTGTTAATTGTATTCAGCCAGTTTTCTAACCCGCACACCATTGCTAAACAGTAGTAGTGTGTCTTTGACCTTATCCCGTATCATATCCATAGTCTCTGACCATCTCCTGTACTATGCCTGCAGTCTCTGATCATCTCCTATAGTATTTATACACTCTTTGATCATGTTCTGTATCAGGTTTACAGTCTCTGACCATCTCCTGTATCATGCCTGCAGTCTTTGACTATCTCTTGTATCATGTCCACAGTCTGATCGTCTCCTGTATTATGTCTGCAGTCTCTGACCCTCTGCTGTAGCATGCCTACAGTTTCTGGTCATCTCCTGTAGCAAATCTGCAGTCTCTGACCATCTCCTTCAATATGTCCAGAATGGAATCATCCAAACAATATCTTACACATAGATATGGAATTTCCACATGTGACAATACTGCTTTTTGGTGACTGTCCCAGCGAATTTATATGGAATGAATTAGACTCCTCAATACCTGGAAGTACTGGGTGGTTTCTTCTTTGCTGTCTGTCACTTTGCACTGCATTGTCAGAGCACAGGTATGCTTAACCTGCATCCCTTCTTGAAAGCTGATGCGCTTACGGACTCCCCTGGTAGAGAGCGAGCAGGGACATGGAACAAATTCCGTTTTATCACTGAGAATAGAATGGGAGAAAGGGCAACACCAAAACTACAGCTAAGACCTCTTGCTAGTCCCATATACTGTATATATATACAGTATATATATATTAAGAATTAATGATAGATAATAATTTCTGTAGAATGCAGGAATCGCAGTAGGAGAGGTGAGCTCAGCAGGCTTATGAAGTAATCAATATTATCAATACTAATAAAATAATCAGGGCCATCCCTGTAATGAGCCAGCCTGATGCTGTTTGCTTCAAGCAGCATCTCTTTGGGTCACGGGGGGGAAGTGGTAGACAGGGCAGCATGCTTGTTGTATAGTGGCCGCTCTACTGCACAATGCTACCCCTTTCTGGCCAGAGCGCCCCGGGTTGCTAAAAGCCTGGTGAGGAGATGTATAAGGGCCAAACACATCTCCTAGCTCGGCTCTTGGCAACCTGGCATGCTCTGGCTTGCATCCCATCCAGCTCCTGGCAACAAGTTATTTTGCTGGTTGCCAGGAGCTGGATGGGACGCAAGCCAGAGTGTCCCAGGTTGCTAAGAGCGAGGCGGGAAGATGCAGTGCTTGCAGAGGGTGGCATTACTCTTGTGTCTGGTGGCGATGTCTCCTCTACCCACCTGCCGCTGCTGCTGTTATTGCATGCACCCCCCCAACTGCCTCAGGCAGCTAAAAGGCTAGGGGCACCACTGGTGCTAATGCCCCTATACTCAGTTGTATGGAAGCAGGTCTTTTCTACAGTTGCATTTTGAGCTCACCTTGGGATAAAATCGGTACAGCGCGAAGCTCACTTGAAGCAGATTACCAATAAACGGCAGCGGGGTCGGTCCCGGGGGAAGCCTGAGCCGTGTCTTCTGTATTTTCCATATGGTGATAATGAAGTAGAAGAGCAGAAATGAGCAGAGAGACAGAGTCAGGACATCCATGTCTGAAAAACAGAATCCCGGCTCTAGTCTTTGTGAGTTCTGTAATTATGCCAATTATTAACTTGTTGGGGAATAGAATTGTGTTATTGTGTAACCTGAAGCACAACTACTCCTAAGAGCTCAGGATCCCGAGGAGGGATGAAAGTCAAAGGTCAGCCAGAGGGACAATTCCTGACAATTTTGGAGGATTCTCCTTCACCTAATCTTCTAATAATTAGTTGTGTGGCAGTCAGGACAGCTCTGCCAACACCACTGCTAGCCCTTTGAGAACTTCACCCAGCCCCACCAGGGATGGCACAGTATATGTGTTGTGGTGCACTGCCATGTGTATAACAATTATATATATAATTATAATAATATTTAACAGAGTGAGTGACTGTGGTGGGAGATGTGTAAGCTAATAGATTACTTGGGTTTAGCTTTTTGTTCCATTGTTAAAAGCTAATATAAAACAAATAGATGATGGAGGGCACTGTATGGCCACAACCTCGGTAAGCATGCCACTGTTTCCAAATTCATTGTACTAGATCAGATTTTTTCAACTGGGGAGCTGTGGCACCATTGGGTGCCGTCTAGCTTTCACAGGGGTGCCATGAAATATTCACACCATGTTATGCGTTTCAATGGTGAAGGAGATCTGGGCACACTGTGGTGAAAATTGTAAGGTAGGACTCTAATGTGAAGAGGGGATTCTGACATGAAAGAGGGGGACTCTAGAGTGAAGGGGGTTACTGATGTGGAGAGGGGACTCTGTTCGAAGGGGGCGGGGGGGGGCTCTAATGTGAAAGGTGGGAACTCTGATGTGTGTGTGGGGATTCTGATGTGAATGTGGACACTCTGATTTGAAGGGGGATGGTGGTGTAAAGGGGGGACTCTGATATGAAAGAGGGGTCTCTAGTGTGAAGGGGGGTACCACTGTGAAGGGGGGATACTGATGTGAAGAAGGGACTCTGTTTAAAGGGGGGGCTCTGACGTGAAGGGGGATGCTGATATGAAAGAGGGGGACACAGAAGCGAAGCGGTGACTCTGATGTGAAGGGGTAAGCTTCTCTTGTTCCTAATGAGAAGGTGGGGCCTGATGTGTAGCTAGCGTCTCATGTGAAAGGGGGGGGGACTCTGATGTGAAGGGGAACCCCATGTAATTTTCTTGTTCTTTTACATAGGGTCCTCTCTTAAAATCCATATCAGTCCCATGTGATCACATGTCATTTTTTACATTTTAGATTGTGGTGCTTCGAGGTTTTGCAAATACGCAATAGATAGCATTGTGCATTACATGATAACCACCAGTGCTCATTCTGCTAAAAGCACACATGTGAGGATTGTCTGATGCCTTTTCTTTTTGCACTAACAGTTAATATTCCATTGATTAGCACTTTTGCTTTCAGGAGTACATATCGTAAACAATGTATCTACTCTTAGGGCCTAGTCACACTGTAATGTTGTGCTAATCACATGCTACCACACACGTTATCACACAGAGCACACAGAGGGTGCGGTACTGTGCACTAGATGTGTTGTGTTAAAGTAGGTACCATGAGTATTGGGTAGAGAGAGACACCTAAGTGGGGGAAGGCCGAGAATCCTGTGGAGGCCACTGAACCTCCCCCCCCAACATCAGGACAGGCCCCAAAGGTACCTGCATCCTCTGTCTCTGTGAAGGTGCTCAGTCGTGCATAAAGAAAGTGCTTAAAATTAAAAGTGCCAGTGCACAAACCTGGCAGGCCATCCGGCCAGGTTATAAAAATTGCCCCGAGCTAGTCAGAAGGCCTGCCCAAGAGGCGTGGTGCAGAAAATGCTTAAGGTGCCGTGACCTAGTGACGGCGAATCAAGTGGGGTCCCAAACTCAAGTGATTTTTCGGCACATCCTGAGATGCCAGCCCCAGGGGGCACAGTACCATGCACCTCTGCGCCTCCCAGCCCTCTGGCCATACAAGTGCAGCCCTATCCCTATCAGGAGGCATTAGCTCTGAGGAGTTTCTGCCGAAGGAAAAGGAATCCTCCCAACACCCACCTTCACTTCAGAGAGTACTAAGCAACCATCAGTATAAACCAACTCTTCTCCGAAAACTGATAAGAACAGATTTTTTTTTTCTTTTCTTTTTTCCCCCGTGGAACGTGCGTCTATACGAACTCCCCTGTGAAAAAAAAGTGAACCGTGAAATCACAGCACACAAAAACGTGCACAAGGGTGCTTGGTCCTTCAATAAAGAAGGGACCATACTTTCCCGACCCCCCGGGGCGCAAGGCTCCTGACAGGGGTTGAGACTGTTGGTCCACCAACAGTGGACCCCGATCCTTTGGGGACCTGCCGGAACAGGTCCCTCACAGTACTAGGTGGGGGGCTCTCCTGAAGAGAGACCCCCCGGTTGGGAGGAGACAGAGAACCCTATATTAGGGCACAGAATATTCTCCCCAGCATCGGGAAAAGGCCCGGAAGGAACCTGCACCCTAAGCAATCTGTGGGTCAAATCGAAAAAAATAAAAAAGTGCCAAATCGTGCATAAGGTGCAATAAATAAATAAAGAGTGCCAGTGCACCACGCTGACAGGCCCTAGGGGCCGGAGTGGAAAAATATTGCCCCGGACTAGCCATAAGGCCTGTCTCAGAGGCGTTGTGCAGAAAATGCAATGTGGTGTGTGACCGAGTGCATCAGTGAGTCAAAGTGTGGTCCCACACCCAAGTGACTTTCTGAGCACCCCTGGGACACCACCCCCAGGGGGCACAACACCACCGGCTCTGCCACCTCCCAACCCTCCAGCCAGACCAAGTTTTGCATCCATTCCCTCAGGAGGCATTAGCACCTTCAGAGCTTCCTGCCTACAACTGGGGACAAGCCCGGCGTAACCGGAACAGAATCAACCCAGGAGATAAGGAAACCCCTCCAGCACCCATCTATCACATCAGGGAATACTAAGCATCTCTCCGTACTGGTGGATCGATGCCTTTCTCCCCTGAAAACTGATAAGAACAACTGATAAGAACATATACTACACTTGATCTTAGCCAAAAGGCCGAGAAGCTATCACTTGATCTTAACCAAAAGGCCCTGGAGCTGATAGAATTAATATCTATGATACAGGTTTGATATAAAGGTATTCCGTGCCTCCTGAAAGAACAATCAGCATTTCGCTTGGTGAGAATCATTAAATGACACAGAACTCTTGGAGAAGTGACACTGATAGAAGAATGGATGCCTGAGGTTTGCTATCCCCTGGGACAGTCCAAGCCTCCTGCTGGTATTTATTGCCCACACCTGTTTTGGAATTCAGCATGCATGATGGCGTGTGGGCAGGGGCATGTGATCATGACCTTCTTCCTGTGTAATCATCTGCACAAACCTAACACACAAGTAGGAACAATGGTAACCTTTCATGACCTCTCATCGAGGTCTTTCTTTCATGAACAAGTCTTTCTGGACTCTATAAGCAAGAATATGATTCGCTGACACCTTCTTGATGGGAGTGTTCCAAGGAGAGAGAAGAAGGACTTGGCATGTGTGAATGAGTGAGAATGATGATGCTAGAAGAATAATCGAGACCCCAGGACTAATTTCTTATCCCTACCTCCCCATCCAAATTCCCTTTTAATTTTCCTTTATAGTAATTACAATTTATATATATCCCAATTTGTAAATAAACCCGACCCTTATTTAAGGTTCAGTGTGTCTGTCATTAAATCAAGGCACCCAAAAAAAAGCACATTCAACAATCATTAATCATAATCCCACAATTAGAATGGAGAAGACAGAGAACTACTTCTGACTAAAAGGTAAGGTCCAATGGGTCTACTGGTTGAATATGACCCAATGATATAGCCTGACTTCTGATTTGGACCTGCATGTGGTTTTGTAAAAGGTATGTGTGTCTAATCTGTATGTATTTTCCAGGAATTCTACATGTGGGTATGCAAACCACAAGCTTTCTCAGACCCGGGGGCAGAACTTTGGAATGCTTCCTTAGAGGCTAGAAAACCTTTTCCTGACACTATTGTTTTTTGTTTTTTATTTAATGTATACCGTATGTGCTGACTCGGCAGGTAAAACTGTTTACATTTTTAAAAGAAGGTTTCAGAAATGAGAAAGTGACCCTGATGACAGCAGTGATAGTGGTGAACATTTCTCTGTAAAAACATACTTGTTGATCGGCCTACATTGTTAGCCTTAGAACCTAGGTGCTTATTTATAAAGCAATGAATAGGCATGCTCACAAATTACTGTTGAAATTTAGAAAATATTTACACATGGATGAAATGGAGAATTCCCTTGTGCTTTTTTTCCTGTATGTCTACATTGAACGCACTCAGCTTGGATATGCCTGCTCTTAAAGCTAAAGTTCCATCTGTTTAGATTTTGCATTCCCTGGTTCCCCACCTCCTCCATTAACATGATAATGAACCAGTGATGTCATTACTGGGTCTTTGTGCTTTAAACTGTGTGACTGCATTGATCCAAAACTTGGGTGGGTCAGCAGTATACTGAACTTAAGAGAAGCTTTACCGACAGGGCTGGAGATACTACATGGGTGTAAACACCTACAGTAAGGGCAATAACAGAGTCATTTCCAACAAAGTAGTGAATGACCACACTTCTAAAGGGGATGTTTCTAGCATACATGGCATCAGTGCCATCCTGTGCAAGAAAAATGCCACCGCTCTGCGTCCTAGATGGAAGCTTGTGGTTGTTTATCAAAATAGCACTGCCGGCAACAATTGGAGCAACCACACTTGCCCTTAGTGCGATGATAGCACACTCAGCCTCATGCTGCACGGAGATTTACCAACTAGTGGAGCAGCAGACTGAGAGTGTCCATAAAGAACTGATTTGGCACTGGCTTACCACTGAGAGCTGCTTCCACTGAGGTCACAGTCCTTTAGTGGAAGGTTAGACCCCTAACTCGTGCACTAATGCTCTAAGTAGAACTATCCCACTACGCTGCCACCAATATGTGACGATGGCCCTCTCAGCCTCATCCTGCCAAGACATTTTCCATCTCATGGGACAACAATCCAAGTTGGCATTGTTTAACATTGTAGTTAACCCCTTACGCAAACAATAGCTGCCACCACATGTTGTAAAGGAAACACACACCATTCACTGTAAACACTGTGTCAATTCTAGCCTGAGCAATGTCTGTGATGCTCACTGTCCTACCAGACAGGAATATAGGAAGGATTTAAAATATAGTAGCATTCTTCAAGGAGGCAGGGATTCTTTAAGTTCTGATTTAGAGCATTAGAAATACAACTTTTTTTTAAATGGTATTTTTTCTTATTTTTAAATATTTTTTAAATATAGCTTTTAATAAAATAAAGAGAAAAAAACCTGCAAGAAAAATATTGATAGAAAAGATATTATAAACCTGTGTTTCTCAACCTATGTAACCTCAGCACCCACATTTGTCCTTGGCCCTTAAGTCGTGAACTTCCAATCAAATATCAAGAGAAAAGCCCGGAGACAATATAAACAAAACAATAAATATATTGCTGCTCTTATATTTACTTTGAGAAGCTTTTTGCTCAAACACTCTTTAGGCAAGAAAAGAAAAAAGAAACCATAGACAACATTACGCACTTTTATTTTTCTTTAGCAAAGTCAAAGCAAAATTTAAAAAAATATATCTTCTACAGTCTGTAACTCAATGATACACTGAATATAGTATAGAATTCTAGATAAAGGTCTGGAGAAAACTGCTTCAAAATGAAGTAATTGTACTTGAAATAGAAATATATCTACTATCTATCTATCTATGTACTGTATCTATCTAAAAAAAATAAAAACACAAACAAATTCATATGAATAGTGAAAAAGAAGTATAAACATCCGCAAAATATAAGCAGCTAAAGTGATAAGGAAGGGGTTATTCAGGGACAAATAGGGATAACTAAGGGTTCACTAGGGGTTCACTAGTGATGTCGCTTTAATTGGCATTTTGTACTGGTCAAGGGACACTCCCTTGATATGCATATAAAATATCCAATCCAGCCTTTCTCAACCAGGGTGCCTGCCCTTGGCTTCCTCACAGGTGCCTAAAAATGTTGTGGTAGTGTACCGGTGATGTGATGAGGGGAATGAAAACCTAGGTGAATGGTGCTCCTAATTTAAAGGGGGAACTATAATGTGAAAAGGGGGACTCTGATATAAAAGAGGGGCTCCTGATGTGAAGGGGGGGGGGGCTCCTGATGCAAAGGCTGACTCTGGTGTGAAGGTGTGGGGAAGATCTTAATTTGAAGGGTACGACAGCAAAGCATTTCCCAGCACACTCACCAGGCAGCCTGCAAAAAAACATTGTCTAATCGCTAAGGTAAAAAACAGAGGTCTTAGCTGCACGTCTTCTGCAGAATATGTGGAAGTCACACTGCCTCATCAAGGCCCCTCTGTATAGTGTGGTCCTAACTCTAATCTGTGAGAACCCCCATTTGGGAGCATATATTGCAAAGGATGAATTGGGTGCAGGTTCGCCAGGAGGCAGCCCAACCTCCTTAAAGGTACAGGAACATGCAAGGAACCTCGCACATCAATGGCAGCTGAAGCCCCCCGTGTGTCCCCACAGCAAGCACAACATGCAAAACGAATGACAAACACACTCATCAATTCATAACCAGCTTTAAAGCTGGTGCACATGGAAAGTGCATCATTTGAAGAGGGCACTTCTATGTGAAGAGGGAAACCCACTTTTTTGTGTATTTTTGCAAGGGGTCCCCCCTACAATCTATGACATTTAAGACTGGGGTCTCTTGAGGTTTTGCATACTTTTAAAGGTTGGCATGCCTAAAAAAAGGTTGACAAGTACTGATCTACTCTAAATACAATGCAAAAATAATATTATTACAAGAAAGGATGTAATAAAGGCTTTATGAATAAAGCCTTCAAATACTGTATAAAGGTTGTCCTTACAGGAGCATGTACCCGAGCTCCTGCAGGACAGAGACAGACTCCAAGCGACAGTCGATCTGCTGAAGTTTTGGGGACCAGGTGCCATCATCTTATTTGCCCCAATTTGGATCCACCACTGTTTAGATTATTTATGTGCAACAGGGGTGAAGACCTGGGAACCTAGAGCTCTCCAACTGAGCCCCAAAGAAATTGCCAGGTGCTTTGACTTTCTGTTATCTAGCAAAGACTTAATAGTTTTGGTTGAAAAGACCTTTTAAACACAACTTTGTGGCTATACCTTCTCATTCAGATGGGGTGCTTTGGATTCCATTAGATGGTGAGTTCTGTTGAGAAAATGTATTTCTATAAATGGAAAACTTTTTGATTTTATCTCTAAAGAAGGCAATGGTGCCATTATTCCTGCTGACCCTGTCGTTTTGTTTGAACACTACAACATAACACGCAGGTAAGAGGTGGCAGCCTATGACTGCAAGAACAGAAGACAGGATGGCAACGATTTGCACAGCAGAGAGGTACAATCCCCTGGAGTTCATGTACACAGGGATAAATAGGGTCCAGACAAACATGTAGACAAGCATGCTGAAGGTGATACATCGAGCCTCGTTGTATTTTTCTGGCAGTTTCTTCCCCTTGTAAGCAAGAAGGAAGCAAGTAAAGGCCAGCAACCCAATGTAGCCTAACATGATGCCAAAGGCCACGTAAGATCCTTCGTCACAATACAGGAGGATGAATTGATGTATGGTGTTATCGGTTGCAACAGAGGGGCTTTTGAGGATGAGCCACAATATGCAGATACCAACCTGGACACCGGTTAATACAGCAACGACAATGACAGAGCGATGGCGGGTGAAGTTACCTATCCGCTTTCCCTTTTTGGCACACTCAAAAGCCATGAGGATCAAGATAGATTTAATTAGGATGCAGTTAACAGCGATGGTGAAGCTGATGCCATACAATGGCTGTCTAATCTGGCAGATTAGATGATTTGGCTCTCCAACAAAAAGCCCAATGCTGACAGAGCTGCATATCAGCGACACCATCAAGAGGTATGCGTAGTAGCCACCTGCTGCTTTAACGGCAGGATTATTGGCATTTTTAACAAAGAGCAATCCTATCAGGAGCACGACAATAATTCCCAATGAAGTAAAAGTCACCAATGTTATGGCGAACGGGTCCTTCCACTTTAAATATTGAATTGTCTTATTTTCACATTGTGAGCTTCCATTGGTTGACCACTGATGAGAAGGACACTTTAAGCATTCAGTCATGTCTGGAAAATAGAAATAATAAAAATATTGATAATTTGTAAAAAGCTGCTAGTTGAAAATAATGGTGAGAAAAGTGAAATGTAAATGGAATATAAGATGTGTGGCACAGTAGTAATGAAATGCCACTTGTTCCCACCAAGTCCCATTTGCATTAAGCCCCAACTCTTCTGAACAAACCTGTCCCTTAACAAACCTGTCCCTACTTCTACTTGTATCATGGCCACTGTAGAATGCAGCACCAACAATTTGGGCATTAAAATGAAGTGTGTGAACTGTCTGTCCACAAGAGCCAAGATTGAAAGTTCAAACATGAGCCTAAAATACCTCCAATACACCTACCAGGCATAGGAGAATAGGTGTCGTTTGCACACGCAAGACAATCATAGCAGCAGGTGATAAATGAATGCTTCTTGTAATATCCAGGCTTGCATGTTGCTGTACAGTTAGAAAAGGGGACCTGCAGGATAAAAATGACATTTATTAAAACCTAAAATTAACAATAATACATTATGCTAAAACTGCACATGGTCATCACTAGACCCCCAGCACCTGGGACACAAGGCCAAGGTATCTTGCTGGTGCCCTGGGGGTCCTGTCAACTTGCAGAGTGCCTCAAATGTTCTGACCCCGAGGTCTCTGGGAGTCAGTGGTACAGTAGAGCCTCCCTCACTGACACCATTAACATTTTTATCTGAGCTCCCACTGATGAGCAATCAAATGGACTTCATTCCTCTCCACTCTGCACAATACTAACCCTTGGCATACTTCAAGTTCTGACCACTGCATTCTCCATGAGGTGCTGTAATACTAAACACTCCTAATAAGTGTATTCTGGAACCTGTGTTGTACATGACATACTTCTGACCACTGCATTCTCTATGATGTGCTGTAATACTAAACACTCCTAATAAGAGTATTCTGGAACCTGTGTTGTACTTGACATACTTCTGACCACTGCACTCTGTAAGCTGTCCAGGACATTACTTACTACTGACCCAAGCGCTCATTGTGTTCCAGAGGTTCTAACTGGTGGAAGCAGTCCTTAGTTATTTTAATTAAGTTGTAATTTAAGGTAGACTAGGACTAAGTGTCTATATTTTGTGTGTACACAAGCAAATGTAATGGCAGACTTTATTGTATAAAAAATTATTTTTTGTCCTGAGGTTCGAGTGAGTCTGTGAGATTTTTACTTGTCGTGACATTTAATAGCTTCAATAACCAATGTACACTGAGTGGCCAGATTATTATGACCACCCCATCAGTACTTTGTTGGGCCACGAGATGACTCCACGAGATGACTTTGTTGGGCCGCCTCGTTGAAAGATGATGCGAGGAATCTGACACTGCACTGTTGCCCTTCTGTTGTCTTGTACCAGTCTTGCCACTCTCCGTTCTGCCCTAACATTGACTAGTCGCTGACGGCCACAATTTGCACGTTCAGACCCAGATTTTCAGCTGACAGTCCAGTCTTTAAACACTTTAACAACAGCTGCTCTTTTTTAACGATTTCTGCTGTTTTGCCGATACTCTCTCCATGGCTCAGAGCGCCAACAATCATCCCACGTTCAAAGGCTGTTAAATTGCGTTGTTTCCCCGTATCTGCAGAAACAAATCACTTCTACTGTCGTGGTAAACAACCCGCTTCCCTATTTATAATGGTCTGGCCCTCTAGCAACTTCAGCGTGAAATTATAGCTAATTATAGCTAATTTGCCTACAAACGTCAGGTGGTCATAATAATCTGGCCACTCAGTGTATATTGGTGATGTGCAGGAATGACCATGACCATGAGTTCGACTCGAACCCAGGCTATATACAGTTCGCCAAACTTGCAATTTGGCCAGTTTTCTCACCTGCCATTACCTCCATTTGTGAGCTAGCAACCAATAACACTGTGCACCTCACACAGCATCATTGGTTGACTGATAGCAGAGCTGGACATTTTCATTGGATGCTAGGATGCATGTGGTTGCACCATAACAACAAGATGTTATGAGATCCCCAGCATCTTAGCATCCAATGATGCTTTGGTTGCTAAGAGCCTGGCGTCTCTACAGCATCACTGGTTATCATGGTATGCCCATCTGTGTCCTAGCAAAAAAGGATGCTGTGCGGTTCAGCTGCTAGCATCCAAGCAACAAATGACGATGTGTGGGATGCACAGTATAATTAGTTACTAAGATGCTGGTGGCCCCCACAGCACCATTGGATATTATGGTGCCCCCGCCTACATCCCAGCAACCCACGACTCTGTATGGCCCAGCTCCTAGCAACCAAAGATGCTGTGCAGGTTGCACTGTGTCATTGGACACAGGCAGAGCTGGTTTGGTTTGCTTGGACGTCCACCCTTCCACTATTACCACCGTTCACCTTACTTTTAAAGCAAATTATAAATTGATGAGTGCCATTGCTTCAATTGCCCACATGTGATGCTGAGCCTCCATGATTGAAAGAACTATATTACAATGATACAAGCTGGAGGTCAGCTTTAAACCCTGTGGAAAGATTTTCCCTCTGTTCTTGTCCCAGAAACACAATAGACAAGGAGTGAAAATCCCTCCAAAATAGGAGAAATTCACCTCTTAGACAGCAACCAAAGTATCATTCAATGCTAAGATGCTGGTGAACTCATAACATCTTCGGTGGAAGGATGGTGGAAGGGCTTTCTACAGCACAAAAATTTTGCAGCGCACTTAACAGCCAGCTTACACTGTCTCACAACTCACAAATATGTGGAAGCCCCACTACCTCATCAAGTGCCCTCTGTGTATTGTGGTCTTTGGTGGTAGGTTAATTGGCTCCTCTCTAAGTTGGCCATGTATGTATGTGAGATTGGGACCTTAGATTGTAAGCTCCTTGAGGGTAGGGATTGATGTGAATGTGTAACTATGTAAAGTGCTGCGTAAATTGTCGGCGCTATAAAAATACCTGTAATAAATAAATAAAAGGCTTTCCTCTCCTTGTCTGTTGTGTTTCTGGTGCAAGAATGGAAGCAAAATCATTCCAGGGGGTTTAAAGCCGACCTCCAGCTTGGATCATTGCATTTCAGTTCCTTCAATTCAGCATCACATGTGAGTGTTACCTAGGGCAAGTGATGCAAATGGCAACCACACTCAACAATTAATTCCTTGCTTTAATAGTAAAGCGAATGGTGGAAGGGATTTACAAAGCACAAACACAAAAATTTCCCAGCATGCTAACCAGCCAGCCTGCAAAAAACTTGCACTGTCTCACAACTTGCGTTAAAAACAGAGGTCATAGTTGCACAGCTTTTGCAATATAAGTGGAAGCCACACTGTCTCGTCAGGGCCCCTGTGTATATTGTGGTCCTAACTCTAATCTATGAGAGCCTCCATCTTGGAGCATATATAGCAAAGGATGAATTGGGTTCAGGTACTCCTGGAGGCAGCCCATTCCTCCTTAAAGGCACAGGGACACACCAAAAGCTCAGCACATCACAATGGCAGCTGAAGCCAACAGTGTGTTCTCCCAGTCTGATTTTTTTCACGAAGCTATGTACAGCCCCCTCCCACCAGTCATAATCTGACCACATTGCAAAGAGAAGAACAGAGCCCCATGGATGACATCACTGGGTTTAATATAAAGTCATGAAAATATATACCATTTAAAATGTCATTAGCATGTTGATCAAAGAGGTAGGGATGAACCAAGAAAGGCAGATTAAACTTCACCTGTAAACCTTCTATACGAAACAAAAAAATAATGTTATACTACATACACTTTTACACTCCAACATATGACCAAAACCGAAATCTAGAGCTTTGGGAGAACTGACCCTTTAAGGTTAGGTTAAGGTTAACCCTAAACCTCTTACCCCCTACCCTCTATTATAGCCATAGCCTATAATAAAACTAGAGAACAGTATACTAAACCAGTCTGGGATTATATGAAATATGAATGATTTTGTGTTTTTTTCACATATATATTACATACCGAGCTGTTGGCGTTGTTCCAAACAAGAAGACTTTGGTTGATGGTTATATTTTGATTGACTGTGTCATACTGCCCAACAGTGATCATTTTAACATTGTCATTTTTGATTTGCCAATTGATCAAATCATAGCTACACAGCACTTCACCAAATGAATTAAAGTGGAAGGTTTCACCATTGTAGCTAAAGCTGTTGTTCTTTAGTTCTGCAAGGAGCTGGAAAACAAAAATGACGTATGAAAAGCCTTTTCAATCATTTACACACTCATATACTACATTTCTATGCACAGATAATTTTTACTACAAGTAAGGGAAACAGCAAATCACCTGCCTACAATTCAGAACATACAGTAAAACATGCAGACGTGGCGAGTAGGTACATTTTTGTCCGTTTTTATTAGGTACCTGGTGTTGAGACCGAAGGTATGAGGAGGCTCCACTTGCACCCCGTGTCTTGTGGCCTTTGAGATTGGGGACAAAGGCCAGGCGGACAATGAGTGGCACGAGGGCTTTTGGTAGATCCAGTAATCGATGTCAAAAGCCGGGGTCAATAGCCAGGAGATCCGATGCGGTACAATAAGGAGCAGGCAAAAGAATATCCAGAACACAGTCCGAGGTCAAAAATGCAGGCAGCAAGCAAGGATAGTCGGCAAAACAGGAACGAGTCACAATCCAGGGAGATCAGGAGAATACAGGATCAGGCAAAACAGGATACACGGAGCACACACAAACTTGAAAGACAAACCAGCAACTAGTGGGCGTTTGAGCTGGGTTTAAATAGGGCCGTGAATCTATCTATGACGTCACTTCCTGTGCGCCACTTGGCGCGGATTTCCGCACGTCACTGCCGACTGTGCATGCGCGTGTTCGTTCTCCGCTGCGCATGCGCAGACCGGGACTTTTGCTGACAGTTTTGGAAAACAACAACTCACTTCTTGTCTTTTTGAAGAAATTAGGGGAATCTGTTGTCACCAGGACAGGAAACGTCACTAGCAGTCCGGCGTGGATTGTAGTCCATATTTATTGACTGCTATAGTGTGATCAATGCTTTGAATGATGTGACACTATAGCAGTTAATAAATATTGACTACAATCCATGCTGGAGTGCTAGTGACTTTTCATGTCTTGAATTTGATTTGCGGAGGCATCCGCTGTCATTTTAGCACCCACCAGAATTTCCAGGGTTTGATCCGGTCAGGATTGCGATGGGTCCCACATGTCTGTTGTCACCTGGACACGAGGACAGTGACAATAAATGACGGTGGTTTCAAGCATTTTCCTGTTAACTGAGAAAAAAATGTTTTGTGGTCGTCTTTGTCCATCCAAAAACAATTTTCTATAGCTTTCTTTCCTGACGGGTCAACAATAAATTGGGGGGTAGAACTCTCAACTGGGTTCACAGACTGCTGTGGTTGAAGTTTTGGGTTTTTAGAATTTTTGATGTTCATGACTGTTAGTGCCTGATGTGGTGGTTGCAGTGTCTCATATGCAAGAAATAAAGGCGAGGAGAACCTGGCCAGTTTACTTTGCACCAAGATTCAAGGATAATGAATAATCTGAAGCTTTTTCTACTTTTAAAGCTTTTATGTTAAATTGGTGGACCTCCCCGTGATCCCTAAACTCCTTTTAACCTATGAAACAGCTTTTTTGCCTTCTGAAGAACCAGATTAGTTGGGATGAAGTGCAAGGATACCTCCATAAATAATAAAAACTCCAGAACACAGGTGTAGGCTGCAGCAGCGCTTTAAATTTTGAAATGGGTTCGGATGCATGAGGTCCCATGCTTGCTGGGGATCTCGGCAGTCTTGTGGGGACCTCACAGCAGCTGCCTTTTACTGCGCCGGTCTGGCCGCGCATTGCCTCCTTCTCCTCTGCCCCATTGCCCGCACCCGTGAGACACTGAAGAGCCTGGTGAGATGCTCCACACAGCCCTGGAGAGACACTGCACACAGACCTGGTGAGAATGCTCAGCCCTGGTGAGAATGCATAGTCCTAGGGAGAAGCTGCACATAACATTGGTGATAATGCACAGCCCTGGGGAGACATTGCACACAGCATTGATGAGAATGCACAGCCCTGTTGAGACGCTGCACACAGCTCTAGTGAGAATGCACAGCCCAGGTGAGAATGCACAGCTCTGCTGAGAATGCACAGGCCTGGGGAAAATGCACAGCCCTGGTGAGACGCCGCACACAGCCCTTGTGACACTGCACGGAGTCCTGGTCAGACACTGCACATCCCTGGTGAGACTGCGCTCAGCCCTGGTCAGACCACACACGGCCCCCTGAGACCCTGCACAACCCCAGTGAACAACACAGAGTATGTAACTTCATATTATTCTACATTGCTGTATAATGTTTTGCTGGGAATTGTAGTCCTCTAAACTGATGGTATCCTGCATTGCTGTATAATGGATTGCTGGGATTTGTAGTATTCTATAGCTGGTGGTATTCTGCAATGCTGCATAATGTATTGCTAGGATTTGTAGTCCCCCTACAGCTTGGAGTCAGTGGCAGAACTACCAGGGTCATAGCAGTTGCAGCTGCAACTGGGCCTTGGTGCTCCACCACTGTCCTAAATAATTAGTCTGTATTGTTTTAGGTTAAATGTTACATGACATTAAAAATAGGTATTGGTAATTGGTATCAACAAGTACTTGAGGAAAAGTATTGGTACTTGTACTTGGTCTTGAAAAAATGTTATCGGTGCATCTCTAATTATGTTCATACCGCAGCATGCCTGTATCAGTATTGACCCCCACCGTACTGATTTGAGGACTTATAGAGCTTGTAAAGTGGTCCTTTGGTCAGGAAATGAACAGGGACTGTAGTCCTCTAATGTGAACTCTACTCATATTGAGCTACCAGGAGCCCCCTTGTTAGTCTAGCTGGTGGTTGATGAGTGAGGTTTAAGGAGAACATACTTTGGTGGAATGTATCTCATCCCTAAAGATAAACAGTATCGTGCAGGTTCTGTTTCATTTACTAACCTCACGCGGGGAGACTTGGAGATTCTTGTCACAAGTTCCATTTCTGCAGTATGTATTCTTCAGCGCTTGAACTGCAGCTGTAACAGCCATCGATGTGGAATATACAGTTTCTATATTCTGTACCAAGTAATCATCATTTTGCAGAAAGACATCTTCTACTGTGCAGGCTATGGGGGATTTATCCACCTCTAATTCAGGAACAGAGCAATTTTTGGAAGTAGAGTTCAAACACTTTAGATATTCTCTATACTCCTCTGTGCATCCAAATCGAAGTGTTTTATATTCATCAAGAACCTCATTTGTTGTTCCATTGCTGGAGGGATAAAGGTTTCTAAGATAGTCTTCTAGTCCAGGAACTAGACCATTCCTAAACATGAATCCAAATATTGTGCCCACCTTTTCAATTCCTTTCATACTGGCTACTAGGTTGGAGTTGATCCAACTGTCACTTGCAATCCAAGTTCTAGATATATTCTGATGGATGGCTTCTTTAAATAGCTCAGCTACAACAGGGCCCTTTGCAAAGATGATTATCACCTTGGTTGTACTGGTCTTGACATCACTGATGACATTGTTTAAGTGATACTTCATGGAAGGATTATTCACGTAGGATGGGACTGTCCACAAAAAGTCAGAACATATTCCGCTGTCATTAAAAAGCATATTCAGAGAATTGATAGCGGAGTGTCCGTAATCATCGTCGCTTGCAATAATTCCAATCCAGTTCCATCTGAATGTTTTGATCAGATCCATGATTGCTCGAGTTTGAAAATAGTCTCGCGGAATGGTGCGAACAAAAGATGGATATCTCATTTCATCACTTAGAATGTCAGCCGATGATGTGCCACTTATCTGTAAGAAAAAGAAGGAACTTTTAAAGGGTGTAAGGAAATGGTTAAAAAAATCCCTGTCAGGGTTTTTGTTCATCTGTGGCAATTTCGCTTCATTTTATGTTCTGTAAACAGGAAGTGAGAGAAAATGTCTCAATTGAGAGAAATTACATCTTAGACAGTTATCATTGGAACAACTGTCCCCAATGGAAAATGTTCCGTCTTTTGCTGTTCTGGTGACAGTGGACACCAGGACAAATACACCAGGTGGTGGGAATATCAGTGTTTGTCTTCCCCCTTTCTCTCTGCCCTGAAGGTTGCAGCCCCTCCTTCTTCCCAAAGAACATCCACAATGTGTACTGAGCCCTCAGAAGCCTGGACTGACTGTCTTCTACAGCCCTGGTACCCAACAGACAGCCAGCAAGCCTCATGTGGATCACCGGCTCACTCTCTCTGCATCTTGCTGCTTCCTGGGCAGGGTCTGCCACCTGTTAGGCACTTTGCAGTTGAATTCCGGTTTCTGGGACACTCTTTGCGTTCCAGCACCTAGTACTGAAATGAAGCCAGTACTGCCAGGTGGAGTGATCTCAGCCCAACCGTAGAAGTAAAGTCCCAGCCCAATGTTATTAGGGAGAGAGCGATGCAGGGGCATGTGAACTGGTAGGTAAACATTGAGTGGGGTCAGAGCCGTGGCTAGTTGTGCCCCCCCCCCCCAATAGATGTGTGATGTCACCCGATGCCGTGCGCGGTGTCATGTGACGCCATGCGCCACCTCCTCGCAGAATGCACTGGTTGCCAAATCCAAAATAGCATAAAAATGTGTTTTGCTTGACGAAAGTAATGAAAACTTTTTTAGTTTCCGTTCATTTCGTCTGAAACAAATTTTTAGTCTTTGCACATGTGTAATAAAATGTGTGCAAGTTTACAGGGGATTGTTTCACGATGTACGCACCGCAAAGCTTAAAAAAAAAAAATTACAATAATAAGGAGACTTCTTTATTCCAGTGTCAACCTTCTGACTAAAAAGTGGACCTGTGAAGGCTTCTCTGGAATCTTTGACCTGCTCAGAGTGAGGCATGCTTGCTGGATAGTTTGGGTTACTGGGTACTATGAATAGTTGGTCAACAGAATTCTGCCTGATCCGGACTGATTTCCAGTACAGGTGAATTGATCCAGTTAACTCTAACTATCACCTTCATGACAAGTATGGCCACAATCTTTGTCACCTGAGTATCACTAACCTTATCATTAATATCTTCTACATGGTCAGAATCTTGTCTATATTCATCGTCATCTTCATCATTATCATAGTAATCACTATCAATATGATCATCACCATCCATGCACTGGATACCTTTTGTGTACATCTGACAGACAGAAGTATAGAATTACCTGTGGTATGAAGTAACTGCTCAGTATTCTTCCAATGGCGATGGAATTCTCAGAAAACACCTCCCCTATAACAGCTTTAACGGTTGGGATGACCTCTGTTCCATTGCAGTGCGTTGAGTTGTTTATTTCGAAGATCTCTGGCAATAACCTCAATGCTGACTGAACAGCTTTGAGGGGGTCAGAACACGAGTCATAGATCTCATAGCCCAGTTTGATTCCTTGCAATAGAGGGGAATTGTTAATCTTCTCGATTGTATAGATCATGGACAAGACATCGACCATGGTTCGTAACTGCAACCTGGTGCAGACACAGGAAAAATGAATGATAAGGTTGGTTAGTCCTAGATGTCAGTGATCAGTCTACCACAGGTATCAACATTAACAAACATATGAACTCTCTGATATGAACTAAACCAAGGACTTCAATGCCACAAGGCAGCTTTGCCCCTCTTTTAGGTGGCAATTTATGATACAAACCTGAATAGCCAGGAGATCAGAACACAAATGCAGCAAAATGACTTGAAGATGTAAACCTATTATTAATATTATACAAGATTTATATAGCGCCAACAGTTTGCGCAGCGCTTTACAATAGAAGGAAGACATAACAATCACAATATGATTAAAAACAAGATGGTAAGGAGGGCCCTGCCCGTGAGGGCTTACAATCTAAAAGGGAGGGGCAAGTGATACATGAGGAGGTAGCTGTGTGTGGATGAATTCTTTGAGAAAGTGATTGTTCAGTGGTTAGGTTGAGGTGGCATAGGCTTCCCTGAAGAGATGAGTCTTAAGGGATCGCCTAAAGGCAGTCAGTGTGGGAGATAGACGGACAGGTTGGGGTAGTGAGTTCCATAGGATGGGAGAGACTCTAGTGAAGTCCTGGAGGCGAGCTTGGGAGGAGTTGATGAGGGAGCCGGAAAGCTGGTGGTCCTTTGAATAGTGGCGGGGACGGTTAGGGTGACACTTTAAGACCAGGTTTGAGATATAGCCGGGGGCAGAGTTGTGGATGGCTTGTAAGTGACTGTTAATATTTTGAATTTTATCCTCTGGGCTATTGAAAGCCAGTGCAGGGATCGGCAGAGGAGGGTGGAGGATGGAAGCCAGTGCAGGGATCGGCAGACGGGGTTGCAGACACTGATCGGTTGGTTAGGTGAATGAGTGTAGCAGCTGCATTCATGATAGACTAAAGGGGGAGGAGCCTGTGTAGTGGAAGGTCAATGAGGAGGGAGTTGCAATAGTCAAGACGAGATATAACAAGTGAGTAATTTAGTAATTTTGCAGTTTCATTGGTGATGAAGGGGCGTATTTTGGAGATGTTACGAAGGTGAAGGTGGCAGGATTTGGATAGGGATTGGATGTGGGGAAGAAAGGTGAGGTCCGAGTCAAGGATGACAGATAGGACCTTGGCATGGGGGGGAGGGGTGGATAGTTGTATTAACAATCTCAAGGGAAAAGTTGGGGGAAGGTGCACGGGCAGGAGGAAATTTCATGAGCTCTGTTTTTGAACGGTTGAGTTTTAAGGAGTGTTGTGACATCCAGATGAATATGTCAGTTACCTCTCCCTTTCTCCTAGCAGAGACGGGACATCTGGCTAAGTTAGCTAGGCAGAGACTGTCAACATGCAGTCAGTTCTGGGCTTTCATATTAGAAAGCCAAGCTCTAAGTGTCAAGGCAGCCAATGTTAACTACTTATTTTAAGTAAAAATCCTATCTATCTATCTATCTATCTATCTATCTATCTATCTATCTATCTATCTATCTATCTATCTATACTTCAAAAAAATCATACTTTATGAGTTTACTAATCTGTAAAAAAAAATGTCATAACAATTTTTTTCATTTTGTTAAGGTAGAGAAAAAATTGCATTCACAAATATTTTGTTTTTTAGTCAAGTAAATATGTAGAACACATATTCTGTTTTCCGATTTTGCTCCTGGGTTGTGACTATCCCTCTTACAGAGTGCAATAGCGTAAACTGATATTCATAGTCTGAGTTCGACATCTGCATTCGGATTCGGACGAACCTTCAAATCGACGAAATTCAGTTGATTCGACAGTTTGTCCGAATCATAAATAGCGAATGTATTATATGCCCGAATATTCTAAAACTTTATTCGGGCATACATAAATTCATTTGCAAAACGCGTGGTGGCCATATTGGCCGCCGCCACGTTCTGCGCAGGCGCACCACCATCTTTGAGTATATCTTGGTATGCAACAAAATGGCGGTGCCCGAACATACGGGCGCCGCCATCTTGGTGTATACCACTCAAAGATGGCGGCGCACAAGTGCAGAACGCAATGGTGGCCGACATGGCCGCCGCACATTCTGCATTTTCAGTGTGCGGTTTTGGATTCGGTGGCCTCCGAACCTGAAACAGCAGAAAAATTAGTGTTCTTTGATAAAGCGAATGGAAATGTTTTTTGTTTTCATTTGTTTCGTCAAAAATATATTTATATATATATATTATTATTATTATTATTATACAGGATTTGTATAGCGCCAACAGTTTGCGCAGCGCTTTACACTATAAGGAAGACATTACAATCACAATATGATTCAAGACAAGATGGTAAGGAGGGCCCTGCCTGTGAGGGCATACAGTCTAAAAGGGAGGGGCAAGTGATACAGGAGGAGGTAGCTGTGTGGGGATGAATTGTTTGAGAACATGATGGCTCAGTGGTTAGGTTGAGGTGGCATAGGCTTCCCTGAAGAGATGAGGCTTTAGGGATCGCCTAAAGGCAGTCAAGGTGGGAGATAGATGGACAGGTTGGGGTAAAGAGTACCAGAGGATGGGAGAGACCCTAGAGAAGACTTGGAGGTGAGTATGGGAGGGGATGACAAGGGAGCTGGAAAGCAGGAGGTCTTGGAAGGAGCAAAGGGGATGGTTAGGGTTATATTTTGAGACAAGGTTTGAGATATATCTGGGGGCAGAATTGTGGATGGCTTTCTAAGCGATTGTTAATATTTTGAATTTTATCCTTTGGGCGAGCGGAAGCCAGTGCAGGGATTGGCAGAGGGGGGTTATATATATATACAGGTGAAACTCGAATAATTAGAATATCGTGCAAAGTTCATTTATTTCACTAATGCAACTTAAAAGGTGAAACTAATATATGAGATAGACTTGCAAAAGTTTCGGCTATATATATATATATATATATAAAAAAAATCCCTGTGATGTACTTTACAAAAAACCTTATGGTGAACTGGACTGAGAGATGGATCCTTTGAAAAAAAAATTAATTTTATTGGTTATTCAATAAATTAAAAAAAAACTACAGTTCTTATAATCCTTAGATTTTTTCAAAATGTTTAACTATATGGTGATATTTAGAATATGTCCAGCCAGTTTGCTAATCTCTTGGCAAACAAGGATAAAACTCAATTTCTAAGTAACGTTAGAGAACAATTAATATTCATGTTATTGTAAAGTTTTATGGTTTGAAAAACAAAAGACAATAATGTGCTTTTTAAAATGTATTTTATTTTCAAAATTTTCAGCACTTACCCTTCACAGGCGAATTCATCAGCATAAGGGCGCTCCAATAAATGATTAACTCCATCATGAATGGAAAATATCCCTCCAATCATGATGTCTCCATGTCTTCGAGCCACAGCATGCTTGGAGGAAAGACAGGAAATGGCAAATCCAAAGAGAGAAGGAAGGGTGATTATGGAAAATATATAGCGAGACATATTGGCAGCAGATGAGTTATCCGTGTCTTTTGTTCCCCTTCGTACTCCGAGTAATGAGGCTGAGCTACCTGCTGGCTCACATTTTATAGCACAGCTGTGGAATTTTTCGATAAGGAAGTGTACAGCATATGAAGAGCCATTTTGTTTTTTTAACGTAATATGTTGTATATGGACACTGGAAGACATGCAAACACATGACAGAATCTAACAATTATGGAAGAACGGATACCCTGTATCTGCAGCTTGAAACAAAAGACAATGCTAGAGATAGTTGTGTTATAATATCTTGTTTATTGGCTTTACCAGGAACATATCATTTTTATACAGCTGAACTGCTAAGATCATGTGTAGTATCTGTTCTTATCAGTTTTTGGTAAAGAACAGCACCATCTTTGGTCGTGCGAGGTTGGTTGCCCAGTATTTCCTGGAGTAAATAGGTGGGTACTGGAGGGATTTCCTTTACCTCCTGGGTTGATTCTGGCCTGGTGCACCAGGCTTGCCCTCAAGGCTTGTTGATGGCAGGAATCGCTCTGGTGCTAATGCCTTCTGGTAGGATTGGGGCTGCCCTTGTCTGGCCAAAGGGCAGGAAGCGCAAGAAGCTCCGGGTGATGTGCCCCCTGGGGTTAGCGTCCCAGGGGTTCCAGAGAAACACAGGGGGCGAGGGACCCCAAAAGTGCAGCATTTGGCACTAGGTCTTCATTTTGCTTTTCTTGCCCCCACCTCTTAGACAGGCCTTCTGGCTAGTCTGAAGCAATTTTTATACCGGCCCCAAGGCTTGCCATGTACTGCACATGGCACTATTATTTATAGCACTTATTTATGGCACGAGCCCTTTTACATGCCACAGATAATGGAGGGTGCAGGTCTTTCAGGGGCCTGCCCTGATGATGTGGGGGGAGGATTTGTGGCCTTAACAAGTCTTTTTCCTTCTCCTACTCAGGTGTCTCTCTTCAGGAGAGACTACCTAGTATTTGGAGGACCAGTTTCGGCTGGTCCCTAAGGATCGGGGTCCGCCAGGTTTAACCGCCAGGTGGACTAGTGTGCCTTGCCCTCTGTCAGGAGCCTTGTGTCCTGGGGCGGG